TCATTCCGAGGTAGCAAGTCGACAGCTGTACACAAATGTGTTCGTCGTTGAGTGTACTTGGTCCGTCGGGTATCGAGCAACCACGATACAATATGCGAGAACTTTTCTCCGAAAACTTCATCATCCAAATGTCCCACCATTTCTCAAGCGAGTGGTGACCTTCCCATATTAGTGTACCTTGAAGTTCAGCTCGTCGGAATTTGTAGACTATCTCTATGTCACCTGCAAATAGGAAAGACGTGCCACGTCTAATAGCCACACTGATGTTATTAACGTAGAGCAGGTACATTAACGGGCCATGGACACTCCCTTTGATAACACCACTAGTGATTGCTCGTTGTGACGAGTGGTGGTCGGCTATGGGAACTAGTTGAGAACGGCCACTCAAATATGAAAATAGCCAGCCTAGGAGTTGATCCTGGATTCCAGAGGAAGCAACTCTTTCCAGCATCCGTTTGTGTGGCACTTGATCATGTCCATATCCAGGAACATACGTATGATTGCGTATCCTGAGTCAATAGAATACGAAACATGGATTATATTTGGCAGGTTATGCACGATCGTTTGTCCAATGAAGCATGCTGAGACCTGTCGATCAGATCCAGCGAATTGATGAATGTCATCACAGCATTCTTAACCAGTTCCTCTAATGATCTTGCTAATACGGTGGTGCGATGGATTGATCGGTAATTGTTACTTTCTTGTTTTGAGCGACCCTTGTGACGGGCGATGATGGGGATCTTTTCCTCTAGTCTGGAAAGTAACTTGATTCCAACGAAAGAGTAAACCTGTTCAACAATAGCATTGGTATATCACGTCCTCTCAGTTATATGACTACAGGTAGGATACCATCGTAATGCAAATGGGAAGACTGTTTGATGGAATTCATCACATGTTGGGTAGTTCAGATAAGAAATTCAACTTTACACAGGGCGCTTGGTTGTTTGCGCCCCAATGCATGCGTTTAACGGGTCCGGCTCCAGGCTCATGGATGCAACGCAAAATTAGCTTGACAAATGTCAGCTTGATCATGAAAGGACTGTCTGTCTGTATTAACCAGTCCATCAATCAAGGGGAGTGGTAATTGGTTGTGCGACGCAGAAAGGAACTGAACGCAGAAAAGACTCGTTAAAACGGGTTCCTTCGTTTTACTTGTCGTTCGTATAGCTATCTGTTTTCCGTGTATCCTCTTTGTCGACTGTGTGTGCTTGACCCTATCAATAATGTTGTGTGACTGTAACAGCAAGCTGAAATTTCCCGTCTTTCTGTAGCTAGCAACTAGTCATCTGTTTTTTTTCGGCTGACTGAATGCACCATTGCGTCTGTTTGGACAGGTGTAAGCCCTTTGTCTTGGGGAGTAAGGGCTGCGATGGCCTGGTGGACCCCATGATAGAAATAGTCCACGGCAGTGCACACACATTGTTAAAGAGGAAGAATGCGTCCCAATCGGATGGTCGGATTAATGTTTGAGATTGATTCCAGTTCATCCTATGGGTTGCATATTGCGGAATAAAAGCGTGTCTGATGGACAATTTAATCTTGTGGTCGTTACCAGGGAGTTTGTCTAGTACCTCTGTGCATTTGTGACCCCCGAAAGTGAATATCAGGCCGAGCATACTGGTCGCTGTTGTTGATTCCCTAACCCACTGTATCCATCCAACACTTCTGAAATAGGAAAGGAAAGCTGTATGTGTAGACGAAGATGATTGGGAATACCAGCTAATCTTTGGTAGGTTAAAACCACCGGCAATTATCTTCTGCCTATGTGTCATCACAGCAGCACATTCGAAAGCTGAAGTGATGATGTTAACACTCGCGGTTGACGCAGTTGCCCGGTTGTAAACACATCCGAGTAACATGTGAGAACCGGTTCCCCCGACGGACAATTAAATACATTCGGAGAATTCGGTAGCTATGGATAATGGAGAAGTTCTGCTGCAAATGTACAGTGTCGGTATATCATACATCCACCTCCTCTGACTGTTCCGCGATTTTTTTGGAAGAGCTATTGATTGGGAATCATTAAGGTAGAATCTAATGTGTCGCAGGAGCACCACGGTTTCGCAACGAGGATTGCTTTCTGGTCGTTGATATACGCAAGCATGCTTAGGATGTACAATTTATTGTTAATAGTTCTGACATTAAGTAGAAGTACAGAAAACGGACTATTAGGCTTGGGGTCATCGTGTTGCGGTTCGTTGTTATGCGCGTTGTTGCATTCAAGTACTATGGACTCCGGAGATTTGAGTGGGAGTAGTGGAGTCTAGTCTATTCTTAGTAGACGTGGGGAAATGGGTGATATGTCATTTGTGATTGCCCATCTTGCTGTGGACAGAGAGGTGCTTGAGGGAGCAAGTTTAATTTGTGCTTGACGTGACAGTTGGCCAGACGAGTCATCTGCAAAAATTGCAGATTGCCGGTGTCTCGGCGTAGCCTATCGAGTGATACCATCAACTCTAAAGTCACAAGAACTGCGCACCAAATAGAAGAAAATAACGGTATGAAAGTTTCTTTTGATGGCACGCGAAGCGAGCGCTTCACAATGATACAGGACTATAACTTGCTCTTCCGTGTAAAGTAGTTCTATTTTTGAATTCGGGTTTAGTTCATATCACTGTTGTTGTGTTGGTGATTTCCCTTACCTACACATGCGTAAGCCGCGCTTTGTCGAACCGCGTACATCTAGATGGCGCGCACTAACGTTTCTTTCTGCCATCTGTATGTTCGTGTAGTTTGTGGAATGCGTAAGTTTTATACCCGAACTTGATCACGAAGTGATATAACATCGCAGTTTATTAATCGTTGTTTGACGATGCTTGTTCCGTCGATAACATTCCTTCCATTGTACAAAGTACATGTAGTATCCACCATTTTATATCGCACAATAACATGCACAAACGTGCTAAATAGGACAAGGTGGCTGTTGAGCAAACTCAACGCCGATTTAGCAAAATGTCTGCGAAGAATGGTGTTAAATCCATCTTTTCTATTCAGAACCGCATTTAAATGTGTTCTAACTGCAGGAGTACATCTGTGCATGCTGCATTCCAGGACTCGGCATACCTGATGAGATTCGCAACTTCACAATCCCGAGAACGGAAACAAGAGGGAGAGAAAAGGTCTCGCGCACTACTTAATCCAAGCTTTAGTACTAATTAACCCAAAACATTAGGAACTTGGGAAAATTGTGTGTGTTTAAAATAGCTGTCAAAAAATACCTCCCTGTGCAATACGTCCTATCTATGTTACAGATGTCAAGACCTTTGTAAATTGCATCCGAAAGTGGCATCGACAACGCATAGGAGAAAATTGGCTATTTATTCCATCTTTGTTGCTGCTTGTGCAAACGAGTTTCTTCAATATGAACATGGTGGAACAATCACATCTTTAGGTTTTGCCTCGCATAATAATCGTGACATACTTCCATGGCAAGTCAAGGTGACAAACGTGATAAATTCCTAAAGCGTCGCTGTATTGTATCCTTGTCTTATATCTCATTCAGCTTCTCGGCGCCATTTCATCCCCGAAAAAACGGCGCGAGAGTGGTCAAGTGATGTTCAACTGGTCAGACCACTCGCATAATTTGGTGCGCTTACGCCCTCTCGGTCTAAGCAATATAGGAGTCGAAATGATGCGAAAGCTATTCATGTTCACCCACATTGATGGCTCATTGAACTACCGATGTTGCATCAATCCATAAGCCGGTGCTATTGCAATGAAGCCACAATCAAGTACATTTAACCTCAAGCCACTCTGAAGTTAGTGTGGTACACCCCTAGTGCTGTTACTATCACCTACTCCATTTAGTGCACATTTCGTTGAAACACAACTGTGAGTAAATACATACTCTTGAAATAGCAACGAATATGCAAATCACACAGCTGTTCACCACTCATGCATAAGCATGACATTTTCCATGAAATATGATCTGGACCAAATATGGATGCGGCTTCTCACTCGATGAGGAATATACCTATTATTATTATTATTATTATTATTATTATTATTATTATTATGGCTCAAAATTACACATTCGACTACGGGCAAAGTAGGCTTAAGAGGGATCGATCTCAGTAGGCAGTGCCTGGGACGCCGGACACAATGCAAGCCAGATTGATAACATCACCTGCGAATCGGACGCGGGTGGCATTTAGATCGACTGGATCGCAGATGGGGATAGGTGGAACCTCTATTTTGAAGTCTAAAGTGGCAGTTACTTGCGGCCTCGCCATACGGTATCCCCAAACGATCTAGACTATAAGCAAGGCTGAGGGAAAAGTTAACCTATTGGAAAGCTAACCCATTCGGGGTCGACAAGATGCACTAAACCAGTGATCATCGTGTTGACGGAATGAATGAGCTTAATGCCTTGACAATCGAATCGGACAATGCGATTCAAGTACATGTCATTAGATTGCCTAGGGTGTAACCCGCTTTCTCTTAAAGCAGTACCGTTTGTCCCAAACCACAGGAGGCTCCACTGACGACAACGACAACATGTCTCTCTGGCTGAGTAGCAGGCAGTTAAAGCAACATACACGTTTTTATATTCTAGCCATGCAAATGTTACAATTGCATAGGTTGGTACCTTGGTCGCGTACTGAAGGTACTATTAAAGAAAGGTCTGCCTCACAACAGCCAGATGGTTTGTCAAATGATCTGTGATGGCCATTGCAGGCCTTGAAGGGAAACACGTGGTGACTTAGTGTGGATAAACCTAAAAATAAACCGAGATCGGAAACATCACCATTTCACCACAATGCTTGATCAACCACCTGTAACTGTGTATGGGTATGTGACTTAAACCAATAGCAATTTTAGTAACCGGGTTGCTATCATTCAGCCCAACGGATATGCCAGAATATACAGCTTCAATCAATAAGAAGATATCACCGCTGCTTAGATGCTTTGCACGGCTTTATTCTTGTTCCACTTTCCTTTCACTAAGTTGCTTCAAGATCGTCCACCCTGCACATTCGTGTTTCATGCCCATACAACAGGTTGCGCAGTATGCAGCAACGAGCCGGAGGAGAATATTCCGACGAAATTGAAGCACAGAAGCGGCTGATCTCTGACCTCAGAAACCGCATCGAAACGCTGCAGAGAGAAGCTGATGAGAAAACTAACCAAGTTCTGGAACTTCGTGAAGAGTTGAGTCAGCTACGCACGAATAGGTTTAAATACGAAACAGAAATTAACCAGCTTCAGGCTCAAATAAACCAGCGTGCTTCAGAAATCAGCTCCCTACAAATGGAGAAGCAGATGGTGAGTTTGGTTCGTATATCAAAACAAGAACAACCTCGGTAGATTCACAATTTGTATAAATGTAAAAAGCAACCCGTAAAATGTATTCCCGTTTTTACTTAGAGGCCTTAATTATGAGCTTTGTGCTGGGCATTTGGTCCCGCTTCCTTTCTCATGATTCCTTCAGTGAGCTTACATGCCCAGCTGTATCCTGACGACTGGATTAAATGAATGCCAAACAGGACCTAAACTTTGCCCTGTATTACTGGTTGTGTCAGCGAAACGTTACAGGCAGTGTGAGTTGCGTCGCTGACGGATTTCTTCGCAGACAACGAGCTTACTGTCCGCAAAGATCATACTTGGCATAATTTCGTTTGTTGGTACTATGCTTCCTAAAGTGAGAGTCCGCAATTGAACAACTGCACAGGTGCAAACAGCCCAGTGAATGATGTGCAGAAAGTAATCCAGATTATTAACGAACACCCAAGTAACCTAATGCCAGATTGATCCAAAGGTCAAAACGCACATCAGTTGATCTTGATGCCAATATGAAGTATATTGTGCCTGCCCACGGTTTCCAGACAACGGGATGACTACAACACAAGATTAGAACGATTACAGTTAAGCTGTCATACTTTCCACAAATGACATGTAAACCAACTGGCCTTCTGTGATCTCCTCTCCTTTGTAGCAACACAAGCAAATCACCACGGAATGTGAACTGAAATACGCCCACCGTATTGGTGAACTCGAGAGCCAAGTTAATCATTACATGGAGAACAGCTCAAGGCTTCAATCCGAAGTGGACCGGTTACTACGCAGTCTGGATAGTGAGAAATTCGATAGGGAGAAGCAGTTGCATGAATTGCGGGAGTACGTTTCAAAACTGTTCGTCACAACGCATCAAGTGTTGTCCATTCTCTTCAAGCCATTGCAGTTCAACTAAATCCACCAATTAGTTTGGAATGTTATTTTCCAATGTGGAGAAATAGGGAGAAATCTGTGCAGCTGTACCCATAGCCGCAACAGTATTAGCATGTGGAATCCACGGTGAATTCCAAACACTTATGCGACGAGTTTATCCGCTAAGGCTTGCATCTGAATGGTTAAAACACAATTTACTGTGTGCCCGTAAAAATCCAGCTCCATTCTTTCATTTAATAACAGTAGCAGACGATGTCTTATTAACGGCTGTTGCCCCATGCATGTTACAGTTGACTTATCGGATATGTTGGATGTTTGTGCTAACCCACTGCTCAACCGGTGCTTCGTTAGCGCCATTCCAAGCAAGACTGTACTCAGTATTCTTGTTGCGAATCCATTTGTAAATCGGAAACAAGGGTTCCGCATGGCTAAATGATGCAATACTACAATAAGGTATAATGGGATAAAAAGCAATAGCTTTAGGAGACTCCCAGGATGACAAACGCAAAAGAAAATTAAGATCAAAGTGTTCAGGCTTGGAATGTGAAATATCAACAGTCTAGATATTCCACTTTATCATACTGTTGTGTAGCGTTTATCACTTAGGTGAAATTAATAGTGTTTCTAACGTCGCGATGTTTGGTTTGTTCATCACATGCATTGGCTGTACCTTCCGTTAAGAACAGATTCTAAGAGATAAAAACTATATAATCCAAACGGGATTGTTGTGGCCTCGGCATTCTTTGTAAGGGGCTAATGTCAGCAGTGAACTACATGGGTGCTCGCCTTCAGTCGGTGTGCGGTAGGTTAGAATGCGATCTCCGCCAATCTGTCGATATTCTGAGTAGAAGAGGCCGAGTAAACGAAGGCACATTTCGTAACAGACTGAATAGTCCGTGTTGCCTTGGTAGCTTTTCTTTGGGACTGCTCCAAGAGACGGATGTCTCCTTTAACCCCTGGACGCCAATTCTGAACCACATACTCAATGTGGGGACGAATATACGAGTTAAGCAGTAGGCGTACTAGCGACCGGTCAAAGGTGCCGAGAGCTCGCCTCAAAAGCCTCAAGTTCAAGTTCGCCACATTTGCTGCTTTCGAACGTTGGAGCGAATTGCCAAGATTTGCTTGTGCGATGATACCTACGTCTCTTTTACTGGCCACGTGTTGTACAACGGGTTGTCCCAAAGGTTGTGTTGATAAAATTGTTGCACACCGTCAGCATTTTGCACTTTGCATGGTTTAATGGGAGTTGGTTCGCTACTGCCCATTCGTTAATCTGTTACAGTTCGTTCTGGAGATTGGTATGCTCGGGTGCTGAGTGAATTGCTCTCCATATCTTAGCATCATGTGCAAATATTTGCATCGGGGATAGAATGTTTACTGGGTGGTCATTGATATAGACTGAAGACAGTAGTAGCTCGAAGATGGATCCTTGCGGCACACCACTGGAGACGCATAGTCAAGTAATATTTGACATGCCCCATAGGTTAGGAAGGTGAATAATTCGAAAAGCAAAGCAACGTCAACGAAATAAAGCAAGTGGGTGATTCACCAGGAACTTAAAGTGGGCACACCGTACTGCATTGTATGGCCATTCGATTGCTTTGCAATGATTATGGTGAACAGCCAAATTCTATCGAGTAGTACTGAAGTGCAATCCACTTCTGTGGAAGAGACCTAGCGCGAGTGTCGAGCGATACGGCGGCACACCCTGATGCCAAGTCCCGGTTTCGTTCAGTCACCCGTAATACTAAGCAATTCAATGCTGAACTGGGTTTCACGAGTGCGTGACCTTTCACCTTCACAGTATATATCAGGTACTCTGTTTGCCGTCAGAACATTTTCTCCACAATAACTGTGACGAGGGATCCTAGCGTCGCTTTGAACCAGGTACTCGACTTTTCTCCAGATTACAGTGGTAACATGCTCGTGTTGGTACAGCTACCTACATGTTTACCCAAATAATCTAATGAATTAGGAAGGGGTACCACGTAGGTTGATGTTACTACTAGGTAAGTAAGTGCTTACCTTTCGGTTTAATGGAACTCTTGTAGTATCCTGAATGCTATGTAACTTCACATCTAACAAATTAGACGTATCGTTAGCTTCCTGGATTACCACTGTAGCGTTTTGCTTGGGTATTTCGTAACAAACCCATCATTCAGATAAACTGGTGTGGATTTAAACTCTGCATTGACCTCAACGAAAACCGCGACTCTCACCCACATCCCCATATCTCTTACGCCTGATTGCTGTTACGCTTGAGCTGCATAGGACGTGAAACCGTTAGTGTTGTGATGATGGTAGTCTGTGGCCACCTGCATATGCGAGGTTCGCTGCTTTGCTGCCATGGCCAACAGCCATAGCAACGACTGTCACGGCTCTGAGGCCGTCTGCTCTCCTTTGGTTAGACCACTTGGTCTATAGCCGATTCACCTCCCACTCAAGTGCCGATTGTAGTGCATCTGCGCAAGGGAATTGGGCAGCTGAACATACGGGTCATAAACTGTCCCTCTAATATACGCTAGATTGCTTTACTCCGTTTTGGGCTTGAACTGACCCAGTGAAGAGTACATCGACGCATGGATCTAGACTGTACCAGCTGTACGGAGTCGCTCGCAGTTGTTCTCAATAGCGAGTTCGCCAGAGTCTGTTGAAAATTGCCTCATTTGCCCAAAATACCTGATTGAACGTTATTTCGAATGAAAGCGAATTAACTGTCAGTTTGCACTTGCTCTATGCACAGAGAGTTACACGAAACACAAAACAACCTGTCCAACATCAAACGGACTCAGCAGACCGAAAGAAAGAAGCACACGCAGCAACTGGAGGAAACGCGGCAACGAGAAGAGAACGCTCGATCGGATGTCGAGATACTCAAGGTAAAGCATAAGTAATGGTCCCTACGCAAGCCAGTATGTCGAAATCATTGGTGTGAGTAAGATATCCCCATGTTAAAATTGCCAAACTTCCGCAGCTCACACAGGCTGCATGTCGAGTGGCACTACGATGACAACGATTGTATATTCCCACGTCAGCCCGCATAGTGCATCGGTGGAGGTTATGAGTAGCATCGGCAACAAGTCCTAGGTAACAGTTTGGTTCTCGGAATGATCACCACTGACTAGATAATGGTGTAGATTATTCTACCTCGATCTAATGGATTTGCATCGCGAGCGTCCACTCAATTGTCACTTACAGCGAGAAGCCTAGGCGAGCACACCTTATGCAGTTGCCTCGGACCACTACTGCAAATGACGAACGTTCTAGACACGATTACCCGGTTGCTCGAAAGGTCAGTTTATTGAAAAACGAGGGTGTTGACCGGAATCTGGTTGACTAGCTCATTTCGCGTAAAATTCGTTAATTGGTCTCAGCATACCCTCTACAGTATTCCTAATTGCATTCAGACAAATGAACGGGCTTTATCATATTTATTTCAATTTTAGGGTATCATGTCCGAGAAAGATTCGCGTATCAGGGAGTTGGAGCAAGCGCTCCGTGAGAGCGTTCGTCTGACAGCAGAACGGGAAATTTACGCCTCTGGAAGGGACGATGAATCGAGACAGCTGGAACACCAGGTAATTGCTAACCACATAATTCACACAATGAGTGATCGTTATGGAATATTCATCGTTAGGGGACGCATTCACGAGTACGTGTTCCGAATAATTACATCTGGTAACAGTAGACCATTACCATTCTCCTTGCAAACGCTATAAACCACAATTTTGTCTCGAATGCTAACTCAAATCCTTTCAGACATGTTTTTTCAACCAAACCGAGATGTCTAACGATAGTTCCACTGCATTATTTCGCATTATTTCATTTGCTGGTTTGTACGCAATTGCTAGTCTATTGAAGCCGTTGAGATGGCGAACGAATACATTTGTAATGAACCGTTATGAGTTCTTGTGAAACGAAAGATGAAATAATGGTCTACTTAGAGGTCAGCGCACTCTTCATCAACGTGATAAAAAGCGACGCACTGGAGATGGTGAAACGCTGTGTGACTGAAGAGAATAACCTGTGGAGTGGTCGGAGCTTAAAATGGTTGAAGCAACTGAGAGAAATGCATTGCACCATATCATGTTTTATCTCGAATTTCAACCGGAACTAAACACTCAGGAATATGGCGTCATTGTCCACTAGTTTGTACACGGTACTGGAAAACTCCAGTAAATGGACGCAAACTTGTTGGTACCAAGTGTATGACACACTGGTGAACATAAAAATGGATAAGAAAAACTAGTTTGTGAAGCACCTGAAATTTCTCGCCATAGAGTAGGGATCTTGCAACGGTACATCGCCATTCCTTGATTGCTCTGTTCGCGGGAATGTTTAGCTTACAATCTAATATTTCGTCAACCGGCAGACAGATGGGGCACTGCACTACAGTTCCAGTCAGCCAAATCACGGGTATGTTGGGAACGCTTTATCTGTGTTTCACAGAGCTAAGGCCCTGTGCACAGAGAAAAAAGTTAGGAACGCCGCTTGGAAGTAGACAATAATGTCATTGCGGAACAGTAGACACCCGAATCGTTAGTGTAACACCTGTTTTAGCGGAGTGTAAAACCAAATTGCAAATATATGACGACAAGCATATCTTGGGTAGAAGGAACTTCGTTTGCCCTACAGATGATATTAACGAAGACATACCGTTCCGAGTCCGTTCAGCACTGGTGCGTCTGAAAGACGCACTTCCGGTTGATCAAATAACTACACAAAATTAGCCGCAACAAGAGTAAACATCTGCACATAGGCCATACCGTGAGCAGACTGCGCACAACACTAGTAGAACACAGAAAGCGCATGTCATGACGACCGAAGGATGAGGCTTTACTGTGTGATTCGGTGGTAGCGACGCACGCATTAGGTCCAGAGCATGAGATTTATCCAGATATTGTCGAGATAGTTAGGTGGGTATTACGGTCAAAACTCAAAGTTTGATGGCTCATTCAGTATGCATCGCCAAAGCTAATAGTTAGATGAGCAGAGCGGACGAGATGCAGCAGTCGTAGATGTGGCGGGTTGCTCAAACCGTCCAGCAGGTCATACATGCAAGCAGACCGACGTACGCTATGTGAGTCTACCTGCGCGCTGAGCCTCTGTGCGGTCAACAGCGGTGGGATGCACTGTAATGGTGGTGACAGACATCTGATCCACTGCTCTACTGAAGCAGGGGCTAAGTAGTGAAAAGGTCTGATGGCCACATGTACACTGGAGTGGACACTTATAACAAGTCGTGAGCCTATGTCCTAACGTGTCATAGCGGCCGCGTACCGTGGCCACAGGTGGTCACCTGCGAGCGATGTGACTAGGGCATGACGTGTTGCTACATTTGGCCGCAGAGTTTAAGTCACGTGTGAACGAATGCGCACCATCGGCTCACGTAATATGCCAAAGTTCGTTTTTGCATCAGCTGGCTACTACGCTTGCATGTGTGACAGGTTTCAAGAAACTCATTCATGTCGGTATTGATCTGTCCCTATGCGGTCAGTCTCTCGCACTATCGAGAAATAGATTAGTTATTTACTAATTACTGCAATGCTGGGATGGGCTAGCGGACAAGGTACTCACATGCCGTTAGATGGGGAAGTAATTGTTGCCCATGTCGCGGAAACCTGAAACTTGCGAGTACAACTACCGTGGGTATGAGCTGAAACTGTGTTAGATATCCTAATGGATTTCGAGAGAAGATACGTTGAAAAAGGCAGACAGAGCTGCTGGCGTCCTACAATTAGCTATTACGTGAATAGCAGTGATTACATACTACATGGGGTTGGATACACCAGACGGTTATGGTACCTCCCGTAATCCCTTTAACGAGTACAGCGTACAGTTAGGTAATTCACGCGTACCGACTCGCATGCCAATCACCCTGGAATAGGGGCTGTATTAGTCTTCGATTTTTAAGCTGCTAGCCAGATGATGCCAACTCTCTTCAGTTGCGTACAGCCCAGCAAATGCAAACAACCCCTAGTCCCTGAACCTCTTCACATCTGGTACAGTACCAACTCACACGGGTTACTGCGACTACCTTAACTGCACATGGCGCTTGTTGTATCCGAAGCTATATGAAGGAACTTCTGGGGAACATGTCGATATCCCAACTCTTACTGACCAAAAACATTGCGGGTGCCATTTACCTAGTATTACTTTAACAATGAAGTTGCAAAGGAAGTGAATATTGCTCTGATGGCTCCCAATCTTCCCTTAATACTACGAAATTGTCACTCGAAAATCTGTGTCGAGGAAAACAGCTTCGCATAAGTTGCAACCACCCAGCTGTGTGAAACAACATAGTGACGACGCAGGCGACCTTGATACAGAGGTGAACAGCTCCTAAGAAGGCATGTTTTACTCGACCGTAAGCAAAACCCTGACTCTTTTATAACTGGTCGCTCCAACCAACCTGACCCAAGTGCACTCGAAACCAAACAACTTACGCCTGAACTGGATCACGAGTTGACATCGATGCGCATAATGATGTTGATAAAAAGCACTGCTGTATGTGTAGATTCGTCGCAGTTAGACACAGACAGACAGCCACCACACATCCAGGAAAGCGCTAGACGACCGTTTCGTCCTATTGGGACTCGTCAGTAGCGCGCATCCGCCGAATCCCGCCGGATTCGAACCCACAACCTTACTCTTGCTTGCCAGCGACTTATGTCACTGAGTCGTGAGCGACGGAAGCGGACCGTCATGACTGATATCTAACTGCGATATAGCGCGGCTCATCCTCCACTGTCTTTTATGTTATGGATGTGTGGAGGACACAAAAACATACTAAACCCCCTGCCACTTACTAATAATCAGCAGTCGCCTTAGCAGCTTACATGCCACCTCGATTGGTGGCGGCTTGCAAAGGAAGTCGTTGCTCTGGGGGCCAGCCCTGTCCATAAGATCAGAATTGCCCGAAACAAGAGGAAAATATGACGTCCCGCCACGTGCCATAACGACCCTCCTCCCACAAAGAAACGTCCTACGTTCGCGTCCGAATCCTCGTTAACTGCGGCGATCCTTGAAAATGTTGCTCTTGAGGTCCGACCGATCGAAGGGGAGGGTTGAGGCATGTACGGACGAAAACGAAAAAACCTACCCAGAACACGCCAAAGAGAACGAACAAATGGATTGCGTGCAAAAATGCTTATAATTTTTTGATTTCTGCATACGTTTAAGATGTTTTTAGGAGGATTTTATATTTGCAATACGTTAAGCTACC